CCTCTAGATACCAAGTTTGAAGTAAATCCATCAATTTTAAAAAAAATAGCCTACCTCTCAAAATCCGACAGGTTTTTGGAGGTTAGAAAAAAATCCTGACGTGATGGAGCAAAACGGACTTCGGATTCGTGTTCAGCGCGTCAAAATACATAGGAAATGACAAGTCTGGTCTGCCGCGCACGACACTTTTTTTGCGGGGCTGTGTTATGGGTAAGTATATTATAAATATTTTTGCAATCTACTTTTTAAATACTTCCTTCACAGATTGCTAAGTTACGATGGCTTCTAAATCAAGTACTACATCATATCGTCAAGAGTACGAACATTAATTTGAGTGGGTTAAAAAACATCCTACATTTAAAAATAAAGCAATAGGTGTATGGTGTAAAAAATATTTGGACCTTTCATCGATGGGAAAGTCTGCTCTTAAAAGTCACCAATCGAAATCGAAAACACATATTTCACAGGTTGAAAACAGAAAAAAAATGTCTTCAGCTGAACATGATTATTAAAAACCCTCAATCTAAGTTTAATTAAGAACTGACTCAAGAGACAGTAGCAGCAGTTAATATAATAGGTATACTTTTTTTCAATTTTTTTTATTCGAATGTAGGGAGTATATTTTTACAAAATATTGTCAAGGTGATATTTTTTCAGATAACGATGTAAATATTGTGAACAATAATACGCACTCACAGACACTTTCATTATCAAATTCATTGAACACACCGAACACTACTTTTTAAAAATTTTTACTCAACGATAAAGTCACTAAAGCGGAAATATTATGGTGTCTTGGAAGTGTTATGAATCACACCTCATTTCGAAGTGTAGCCAGTTCTGCTTCCATGTTTCATATTAAATTTCCGGACAGCGACATCACTGCTAAATTTAAATTACAAAGATCAAAATTAGCATACAGCATAGTATATGGCATAGCTCCATATCTGACGCAGTGTCTGCAAAATTTATTGAAAAAATGTGATCGAATAGTCGTCGGATCTGACGAATGCCTAAATAAAATTGCTCAACGTCAACAAATGGACATAAATGTTTGGTTCTGGGATATAGAAAAGCAGGAAGTCTCCTGTAAGTATTTTTCGTCCGTTTTTTAGGTCATACTAAAGCTGTCGACTTGCTAGAAAGACTCAAAAATGCTTTAACACCAGAAAACATAAAAAAAAATAATCCAACTTTCAATGGACGGCCCAAATGTTAACTTAAGACTTCAGTCTGATTTATCTCAACATATAAAGGAAAAGGAAGAAAACAAGGAACTTTTGGAATTAGGTACTTGCGGATTGCACACACTTCACGGATCTTTGAAGACTTCCATAAAATTAGTTAACTGGATTGTAGTAAAATTTTTACGTTCTGCCTACAATCTGTTCAAAAATGTACCAGCACGCAGAGCCGACTATTCAAATTATACAAAAAGCAGTATTTTTCCAAGTAAATTTTGTGATACTCGGTGGGTTGAAAGTGCTTTAGTTACATAAAGAGCTCAAAGTATTTTACCTCAGCTGACTGAGTATGTAAAGTGTGCGATCAAAGAAAAAAAAGCTCCAAAAACGGAGAGTTTCCAAATTGTATCAGAAGCTTTAAAGGATCCATTTCTTGGACCTAAATTAACTTTTTTCCGTTCATTAGCTTTAATTTTAGAACCCTTTCTTGTGGACTTTCAATCTAAATCTCCGATGGCTCCTTTCATATATGGAGATCTAAATACGTTGGTTTACTCCATTTTGATCCGCTGTGTGAAAAACGAAGTCATTTTAAAAGCTGAAGAACCATATACTAAAATTGATTTGTCTGAAAAACGTAATCTTTTAAACGCAAAGGACATTGATTTAGGTTTCTCTACTCAAGACGCAATTCGAAAACTCAAAGGAGTTACACAGTTGGAAATTCTTCAATTTCGACAAGAATGTCCAACTGTTCTTGTCTGCGTTCTTAAAAAGATTTTTGAAAAATCTCCTTTAAAATACTCTCTTTCAAAAGCCATAACGTGCTTAAATCTTGATCTCATTGCCAAAGATTTAAATATTGCTAAGAAAAGAATGAATTCTTGACTTAAGATTTTGGTCGAAAAAAATTCAATTTCTGGCATCGTGGCAGACAGGGCAAAAGGAGAATATACAACACTGTGTTCACTTCCGTTTTTAACTACCGCTGTCAATAATTATCGTCGTTCAGAAACTCGATTAGATCATTTCTCGGTACACATTTTTAGATTAGCTGGAGAAGGTTTTGAAAATGTCTCTGAAATAATGAGGATAGTGCTCATTCTTTCGCATGGTAATGCGGAGCTAGAACGTGGCTTTTCAGTTAATAAAGAGTGCTTAATTGAAAATCAACAAGAAGAAAGTCTTGTAGCGATCAGAAAAGTTTACGATGCAGTTAAGGAAGCAGGTAATATAGGGTCATTCGTCCTATCAAAAAACTTAATCCATCATTTTCGAGATGCACATTCAGTTTACCAAAATAATATAAAAAGAAAACGCGAAAAAGAAGAGTCTGCACTCGCAGCAGAAAAAAAGAAAAAACGCATTGCTAAAGAAAAAAAAGAGTTGAAGGCCAAGCGTATAAAACTTTTAGCAGAAGCACAGAAAGAAGTTGATTTAATTGACAAGGAGATTGATTCTTTGGGAAAATAATCATACCATTTTCAACATAGAAATTTCTTTTAAGATAGCTTCTTAAAGACTGATTGCAATAAAAATTTGTGTTCAAATATTTTAAATATAAATAATATATTAAATATTATATTTAATGCGCATTTTAAAACAATACTTTGATAATAAAACTTAATTGTTAGCATATTGCGAATGGAACGGATTCGGGCCTTATTCTTAAAATGTCATGTTTGCACATATTATTGTTATTACAAATGTCTAAAATAAAATGTCATCATAACATTGAAAAATGAAAATTATCTCCACATAGTTAATTGAAAATATATGATTTTAGTACTGTAAATATTACAAGCGTGTTGGTGAACATTGCAACTGCGTTCAATATGTTGAGGCAATGTTCCCAGTTTAAAATTGCGAAAAATTAACAAATTGGAATGTTGCGAGTGCGTTAACGAACATTGCAACAACGTCCTGAACGCATTGAACGTTGCGGCAATGTTCCCAAACCAAAATTGTAGAAGTTAGTGAATGGGAATTTTGCGAGTACGTTAACGAACATTGCGGCGGCGCCTTTAGTACGTTTGGCGTTCCAACAATGTTCTCAAGATAAAATTATGGAAGCTATTGATTGCAAATAATGACAATAGGTATTTTACTCATGTGCGGTTCGCTATTATCGCTTGCGGGTCTTAAATGGGTATAGATAGGCGTAGAAACCACATTAGAAATTAGACTTCTCGCGTATTATGGAAAACGATTGTTAAACAAATCTACGCGATAAGCTTTTTTTTCTTGAACGAAATTCTTCAGCTTCCCATCCTTTCTTACTCTACACCCCCTCTTTTTATTACGTATTCTGGGCCTAACAATCTTACATGACCATGATAGTACAACATCAAAGTCAGCTCTGAAATTTTTCAGAGGCATAAAAACGATTTTGAGACGCCGGGACTAAGCCCGTCCGTGAGTCGGATTTTCAATTTTTGCAATCCACTACATAGATAGTGATCAAAATTGGACGAACGAAAAGTTAAAGTGAATACTTCACACCGACGAAGTCCAACGGAAGTCGTCTTTAATAAAAATCCAATAATTTGAATAAAATCAAATTATTGAATTTTTGACCGGCCAGTCCGCACGTGTGGTGCCTGCGCTGTTTAGATTCGGTAGACCCGTAAGTGCATTCCACCACTTGACATTTTCGCGCTTTGATAAGTGTGTGCAATTTCCGCCCGTTGGATAGCAGCTCGACGCCTCGCCCTCGTTATCTTGCGACGGCATCATAAGCCGTAGAGTAAGTTTTTAATTATGTATCGTTCCTTCTTATCTTACTGTATTATTTTTATATTTCAAAGTTGAGATTTCTTTTGATAAAATAAATGTATTAAAGGGTCTTAATTGTTTTATTGTGTTTTATCCATTAAATTTATTCTCTAATAACGTAACTTGGCAGTTTCTTTTAAAATAGGATACACGATCCCATAAAATAAACAGAATTTTTTGTAATTTCGGCAGCTTGGTGCCTTCAGGACATAAAAGATAATAATTTTTATAATTAATATTTTTCGGTTCGTAACAAGCTGATGGTGGCAGCGGTGAGATTTTTCCTTACGTTGCTGCCAGCTACGTTATCGGAACAATTGATTTTCATCAGTTGTCACCTTAGAGTTTTTTAAACATTTTTAATTTTGACAAAATTTCATGTTTACTTTTAATTTAAAATTCTTATAATTATACCTTACTAACATTTCAAGACTAAAAATCAATCATTTTAATTTATTGAGTGTTTGATTTTTTTGTCCTTATATTGAAAGAAAAGTACATGATGACTTTGTCTTAAAAATAAATTCTGGATTATGGCTCTCCAACTTATGTTGTTGATGATAACGCAATCCTAATTTATGATTTTGGCTCTCCGACCTTCGTCGTTGATGATGACTAATCAACAGGGGCGGTCAAACGGCCGGGCGACCCGGGCGACTGCCCGGGGCGCCGATTTCATAGGGGTGCCGAAATTGTTAGAATACAAAATTTTTTTTTTACATTTTTTTAACTTTTAAGCATAGAAGTATATCCATAGTTTTTAACTAAACCTGGTAAAATGGTTATCTCAAGTAACTTGATTATCAATTAAACGCATATATGATATAGTGTGATTATACCTTTAAACTTAAAGCTTTACTTGTGAAATGCAGACGCAAATTGTGTCCGAACCCTAACTTTTGACTTTAATTTTTGAATCGCTACTCAACCCTGCCTAAAATACATTCTATCCCAACCTAACATGACTGTTGACAAATAATAGAATTGTTTCATCTATTCAGTTTGTTGATCGATATTCGTAAAAAACTTTTTCCTAATAAGATGTCAGAAAATAAAAAGCATTCTGGGTCCTACTACAGAAAAAGAAAATTACAAGAAACAGCGGAGTTGCAAAAGCAAGCTACTGCTTTCAAACGTTTTATTCAAGTTGGCTCTAGTCAAAGTAGTGATTCATTCAATGTTGCAAATCAAGAATCGCTTGAATCATCAGAGGTAAGTAAAAATTAATGGCATTTTTAACTGAAAAAATACTCAATTACATATTGTTAATTTGATATTTAATTTAAAATAATGCTGCTACCGTTATTTTAATCCGCAATTGTATAGATTTGTCATTAGCAATGACTGTGTTCGTCAAAAGCTGTTAGATAAGTAAAAAACTAAAAATAAATGTAATAGAAAATTTGTTTAAAATAGAAATCAACTGGTAAATATTTTCTTATTTACTATTTTCCAAAATATTGCAGGTGAGTTCAAATTGATATATGTATTATTAATAACGCTGCTTAATGTATATTTGTCTTTATGAAAGCTTGTAGTTATCTAGAAAAATTATGTAGTTGGATTGCAAAAATTTATGGTACTTTTTGTGGATTTCTAATGAGATTCTTAAATTTTAAAGCGATGTGTAGTTAAATTTGTTAATTTGTTATTTAAAATGCTTGTGGAATGATAAATAATTTGAACTGTTAAAATAATTTGTAGTGAAAATTGTAGAGAAAATCAAATAAATATGTTTTATTTAGTTCATAAAATATTTTAATACTCTTATTAGGGAACCGAAAGCTTGCAGTCATCTATACCTATATCTGATGCACAAGAACGAATTCAGTCAGAAGATTTGGATGAAATCGAAAAAATGCGTAGTAAACAGATTTCTGTCACGGATGTAAGGAAAATGATTGTCTTTTTTTAATTTACGATAACATTATTTATTAAAATTATTTTATAGATTCCTCAAGAAAATGAAACAATTATGGTGTCACAAGATCCCGGACAGTGGCCAGTTATTATATCCGATCAAATTCGGCAAATTCTAATAAAGCGCGGACCTGAACAAGTTTCTAACATTCAGTTTCCTAAAAATAATGATGGAAGAAAATTCAGTGTTCAAAATTATCGAAGACGAATGCCTAATGGAGAAGATGTACATCGTTCTTGGCTAATTTATTCTGTCTCAAGAAACAAAATTTTTTGTTTTTGCTGTCGTCTTTTTGGCGCATCAAGAATCTCATTGTCTACTGAATCTGGCTACTGTGACTGGAAGCATATGTCTGAACTCCTATCAGAACATGAAATATCCCCAGGCCACATGAAAGCTTTTCAATCTTGGGTTGAATTTGCACAACGTTTATCTAAAGATAAGACAATTGATTCTGAAAATCAGAGAATTATAAAAAATGAAGTCAAACGCTGGACAGAAGTTCTCAAACGAATTATATGGGCAATAAAATTCCTTGGATCACAGAACTTAGCATTGCGTGGCAAAACTGATCAACTTTATTTAAGAGATAATGGAAATTTTTTAAAACTGTTTGAATTTATTGGAAAATTTGATCCAATTATTGCCGAACACTTGCGGAGCATCGAGTCCAAAGAATCTCACGTTCATTATTTAAATAAAAGGATTCAAAATGAAGTTATTGAGCTTCTTAGCTTAAAGATAAAAGAACATATTCTTAATGGAATTAAGAAATGGACATATTATTCTATACTTTTAGATTGTACTCCTGACACTAGTCTTGTAGAACAAATGTCTTTAATTATTCGGTATGTACGATGTGAACCTGGAGAAGAACCCAGCATAGAAGAACATTTTTTAGGATTTATTCCTGTTGAAGAGTCAACAGGTAAAGCGCTAACTGACACTCTTCTGTCGACTCTTGAAGAAATGAAGATACCACTGTCAAATATGCGCGGGCAAGGGTACGATAACGGGTCGAACATGAAAGGCAAACATGCAGGCGTTCAAGCTAGAATTTTAAGTCTGAATCCCCTCGCCTTTTTTGTGAATTGTGGTACACACTCAATGAATTTGTCGGTGAATGATGCTGCCTTATCTTGTACGGAAGCTGTCAACTTTTTTAACCTTGTTCAAGAAATATACAATTACTTTTCTGCTTCTATTCATAGATGGTCTGTATTGAAAAATCACGTGACGTCGTTAACAGTGAAACCTTTAAGTACAACTCGATGGGAGAGTCGAATTGACGCTGTAATACCTCTTCGGTATCATATTGGGGAAATATACGACGCCTTATACGACTTATCAGAAGACCCAAAAAGTGATGCATATTCGAAAAACACAGCTTTAAGTTTAGCTCGAAAATTGAAAGATTTTAAATTTTTGTGCAGTCTAATTGTTTGGCATACAATCCTTTTTAGAGTAAATGTGGTCAGCAAGCTCATGCAAAAAGTCGATATTCATTTTTTAACTTCAATGGAACTTATTACGAAAATAATAAGTTTTTTTAAGGAAATGCGAACAGATGAAGGTTTTGAGTCAATAATAGTAGATGCAAAAGAACTTGCTGAAATTCTAGAAATCGAACCGGAATTTCCGCCCGAATTGCAAGTACGTCGAAGAAGAGTTCGCCGCCAATTTGACTATGAAGCTCAAGACGAGCCAATTGTAGTTCCAAAAGATACTTTCAAAATTAATTTTTATTTTCAAGTACTGGATCGAGCAATAAATTCACTGACAGAAAGATTTTCTCAATTGAGCAATTACAATGACATATTTGGATTCATGTTTGATTTGAACACTGAAGATAAGGAGACACTTTTAAATAATTGTTTAAATTTACAATCAGCATTAACCAACGGCGACCAATCTGACATTAATGGTTCACAGCTTTATCAAGAACTCTTAGTGCTTTTTTCTGTATCCGATTCATTACCTCAACTATCAAAACGCCCAATGGAGATGCTGAAATTTATTACTACTAAAAATCTTAGTGAAAATTTTAGGAATGCTTATATAGCATATCGAATTGCTGCAACTCTTCCTGTAACTGTTGCTTCGGCAGAAAGAAGCTTTTCAAAATTGAAATTGATTAAAAATTATTTAAGATCTACAATGTCTCAAGATAGACTGGTCGGATTAGCTATGATGTCAATTGAAAGTGAAATATTGGAAAATATTGATGTTGAATCAATTATTAGAAGTTTCGCTGAACTCAAAGCCCGCAAAGTTCCATTGTAACAATACCCAAATAATAAAAAAGTTTTATCTTTTCAAAACCCTAAATTTTATTATACACCATTAATTCTAAAAATTATATATATATATATCTTCAAAATAGAAGAGGTGGGGGGGCGCCAGAAACTATTTTGCCCTGACAGAAAATGTACCTCGGTCCGCCCCTGCTAATCAAAATTCATAACAGTAACTCTGGAAATTTGTTTCATTTTGAAATAAGAAAAATTCTCATTGCAAAAGAAAGAAACATATTTTTTTTCCTTCTATACTTAACATGTCTTTAATAGAAATTTTTCTATTTTTTCCTTTCGTGTTACTTATCGTCACCTTTTCGCAATCTCTAATTACGGAATTATTAGGAATCTTATTTCAAATTTTCTATTTGAGGGCCACTTTACTCTGTTAAAGAAGAAATTGAAAACTATTGATTTTTCATTTCTTATTTTTTCTTGCTATGAATCGTTCAAATTATGCCAAATAAAATTAGGCCCCGTGGCGGTCGCTCAAAAAAACGAATTAATTCACGCAATAAAAGTGTTCATAACAAATCGGAAAATTCAGATAAGAAAATAGAGACAACCCTCGCTAAAAACGAAATTGTTACGGAAAATCAAGTTTCGGTAAAATCAGAATATAAAGACAACCAACGATAAGATATCCGAGTTCGGAAATTTATTATAACCTTACCGAACCGACATTAAAAACCAGACCCATTAATAAGGTGAAACCTTTGTCCCCAGTTGTCCTTCCTGTAGCAGGTCCAAGTAACCCCCAGGTTTCCCCTCCACAAGCTCAAGTAATTGACCTTGAAAGAGAGGAGGAATTGGCTCGTCGCAGAATAGAACTCTTACAACAACACATAGACGATAGTTCAAACGACTCTTACGAGACTACAGCATATGACAGTGACGTAATGATTTTGGATTAAAAATAATTAATAATTTTTCTAAAATGGTTCCACCTATTCTGACTGACAAAATACGCAAAGATTTAACACCTACGTCGATATCGCCTTGCAACACCCCCTTAGTGCTTGTTTCTAAGAAAGCGAATAACCCATTTTACATCGACTATGCTCAACTAAACAAAAATTTCAAATCAAATACCATCATTTTCGATGCAAAGAAAATCAGCAAACGCAATAGATTATAATTTTCCGCATGCTCAATTTCCCTGAAGCAAGTTTGCAGGAATATTCCGAGGTGGCGTAAGAGAAAAGAAAATAGGAAAGATAGTTTGTTGTGTATGTGTATGTGTTCGAAGGCATATACATATATATTTAAATACACATATCACCCCTTATAATATTTCAATTTTTATTGTCAATTAAGACCCTTTTGGCAAAAATGCCGGACCATCTCGAAGATAACCCTGGCGCAAGGGGTGGAAATAATCACTCTCTATTAGAGACAGAACATGCCAATATAACCCTTCGGCAAAATAAACAAGGACACTACGGCCGCCATGGAATCTGTCCTCGAATGTATGACCCTACAACAGAGTACATACCACATCCCTTTCTTTGACGGAAAGAATCGACCCTTAAGAGAATTTCTACAAGATGTAGCAAATGGTGTCGTAATCACCACTGATGCCACAGAACCGGGTTTCCTTAAAGCAGTCCTTAATAAGTTAAAGGGGCCGGCTAGTGAAAGCGTTAGAGATAAACATTTCAATAGAGTGGACGAGCTTGTCGCTCATTTGCAAAAACAATTTGCATCTACAAAAAAATACCAATGGTAATTCGAAAATATCATGACAATAAGGATGAAACAATCGGAAACTGTGGGGGACTATAACGATAGGTTGCGTGGACTTCTAAGTGGTGCAAATATGCCCTCGAAGCAAAATATAATAGACGTTTTCGCGAAGCCGATGTCCTCAACGCGCGTACCCGTTTGTTTCCCGAAAGTGAACTCTTAATACAACCGATTATAGACTGTGCCCTCGAATCTTTCATTCGGAGACTACCAGCAGAAATGTCAATTTTCTTTGACACTAGAAACCCCGTGGACTTAGAAGAGGCCTGCGAACATGCCCTTCGCGTAGAAGAGCGCCAAAAATACTCTGATAAAACCAGGGCATCTTTGTATCACCGATGGCGTTCCAATCCTCTCCTATGCAGCCCATGGTCTATCAACCTAACTACAACCGGCAGCACTCAGGATTTAAACCAAGTACCACTCCACCCCGTTCAATATCCCATGGTCCGCAGGGAAGTTCAAATTCCCCACAAGGAAATTTAAACTTTCAGTCGACTCGACGCTTAGACGCGGCAGCGAGTCCCACTCCCCAGCGTCAATGGAGCGTCCACTTTGCGGACAACCAAATAGGGTCTTTAGAGCAGGATCCTAAGCCAAAGACTCCCCAGTAGTGCAGTTATCTGCACCTGAATTCAGGATACCAAAGGTCAATTTTCTGGTGGATCCTGGATCCGACACAAATTTAATCAAAATGTGTGTATTGAGTCCTGACCTCACATTTACACGAAGCAAATGTGCTGAGATCACTGGAATCACGAATTACACCGTGGAAACATTGGACAACGTCGAACTAACACTCTTCGACATTCCTGTAGGATTTCATATAGTTAGAAATAATTTTCCTATTTCTACACATGGAATTCTAGGAAGGCCTTACCTTCGATTAGAGCAGGCCCAAATTTCATTTAGGCATAATGCTCTTGTCACTATCTCTAAACCAGTGACCCCTATCCCTTTTATAGATAGAGAATCACTGGAAGCGAAAGAGATTCTAAAACCACAAATAAAACCTTTTGCCAGAGTTCTTACTTTAAAAGCAAGGACAAGAAGACCCGTGGCAAAAGACACTACTCTCCCCGAACCATGTGAAGGATACCATCCTCGAATGCAAACTCCAAAGGGAATTTATCTAGGCGAAGCCTTGGTCTCCAATAAAGACAATGTTTGCCATGCAATGTCAATCAACACTACCGAGGAAGACGTTAATGTACATATTACCTCGCAAGAGATAATTCCTTTTGATTTTTGTAAATTTCCAGGAGAAGAACTTTCAGATTCCGACACGGAAAGTCCCTTAATCAATTCTGAAACCGAGTACTCCGATCATGTAGTGAAAGTAAAAAATGCCCTACATGTGTCCCATTTGACCCCAGAAGAAAAAGACTTTGTGAATCGATGGTCAGAGGACTTCGCGAATATCTTTCATTTAAATGGAGAAATGCTCTCGTGCAACTATCTAATCCAACGCAGAATCCCGACAATCGATGAACAGGTTATTCGAAGAAAACAATATCGCTCCCCTAAAGAAGCTCTAGAGCAAATATACACTCAGCTCCTCAAAGAATTTAACAGCGGTATAATCGGGAATTCTAATTCAGATTACAATTCTCCACTTTTGATAGTACCGAAAAAACTTGACGCCTCTGGCGAGAAAAAGTGGAGGGTTGTTATTGATTATAGGGCCCTAAATAAGAAGGTCGTAGGTGATGCTTTCCCCCTCCCCATTATCAGCGCCATCTTTGACCGTCTCGCGAAAGCTAGGTACTTTACGGTGTTCGAGCTTGCGAGCGGTTTTCACTAGGTTTAAACACACCCGAATGACAGACACAAAACTGCATTTTCCTCACGCAATGGACATTTCGAGTATCGAAGAATGCCTATGGGCATTAAAAATGCACCACCCACTTTCCTGCGATTACTCAATAATGTCCTAAATACAATGCTCGACCCGGAAGCATTCGTGTATTTGGACGACATTATAATTTACTCAGACACACTCGAAAAACATGATAGGAGAGCACGAAGACTCTTTTCGAAACTTCGAGAAGCCAATTTAAAATTACAACCCGACAAGTGTGAATTTTTGAAAACAGATAAGGCATATCTCGGCCATATAATAAGCGAGAACAGTATAAAACCAATACTCACCCAAGAAAATGATGGGATCGATCTACCCGTCGTATACTTCTCAAAAACATTGAATGAAAATGAACGAAAATATACTAAAGCGGAAAAAGAATGTCTAGCAATTTTGTATGCTATAGAAAATTTCCGACCCTATCTATACGGTCGAGAATTTACACTAGCATGCGATTTTGAACCGGTTCACTGGATGTCTTATGTTGAGAATCTTGGAGCGAAACTCATGCATTGGAGACTCAGACTCCAGGACTATTAATATAAATTAGAATACAAGCCAGGCAAGATCAACAGATTTGTAGGGGCACTTTTCAATAACCCCCTTGAAAGAAATGAAACAAAGATGGATGCAACTTCCTCTTCGGACTCAGATTGGACCGATGATACTCAAGAACAAGCTCCAGAAGATGATACCTCACATTCGGAACTCAAAACAGACCAATTCAGGGCACTCTCTATTACCGCACGGTTCTCATTCAAAACTAAGGGCAAGGACAATGTACAAACGAACCCTGAAAAGAAAAGTAAGGAAGGCCAACCCCAACTTTCAAGGTTCCTTCCAAATATGACCCTAAGGCGCCCCTAGCACCCGCATCCATTAAAACCCTAAGTGGCCCCAGTAAACCTAAACCGTCAATGGTCGCCCAAATTCAACCGAAGGCTATTTTGCGGAGACCGTCAGAAGTGCCATCTACATCACAACCACAAGGTACAATTAATTCCCCCACCCCAGGATCATCACAACCTCCTTTGAGACTGAGAGGGAGACCCATCCATAGGATCCTCAAAAACAAAGGATCCAGATGCAGATGAACCCTATGTTTCCCCTCTGAATGTTGATCCGACAGACCTGGATGTCAGCTGTGTGGCGAAGCGACTGAGGAAACGTAAAAGGAAATCGGACAGCAATCCTCCTGGCGGAAAGGAAGAAAGTTCATCATCCGAAGAAAATTTTCCCGACAGTGATTACGAAGAAAGTTCGGATCCCCCAGTGTTTCGATCAAGCAGTAGCGCCTTTCCCAGCCTTCCACCTAATATTGTGTAAACAAACAACCCCACCCCCAAAAACGTCACAAATTAAGAATTAAAACTAACTCAAAAGTTCTCGTACAAGGAATAACAGAATGGGTTCCATAATGTCTAATCAATAATTGGAAAACAAATGACAACAGACCTGTAAAGAATCAAAGAGTATACGAGGAATTAATCAATGCATTAAAACACATGGACGTCATCTGTGAACATGTTCCTGGACATGAAGGAATCGATGGGAATGAAAGTGCATATAGATTTGGTTTGGTTAATTTTTTTTATTTGTTTAGTTTTGCCTTGTTTTATTATTTTTTGTATACATGAAAACCCACGATCGATTTCTCTAATCAATTTCAGCACCGTCGGGACAGGTCCTAGCACATTCTCATGTAAAAGAACAGAGAACTCTTGTAGAGGGAGGCTTACGTGATCTGACCGCCGAACTGCCACTTGGGCCGCCCTTAATATTTTGCCAGACATCCTTTCCTACCACGTTGATTTTAGTCCATCCTAAACTAAATTCTTTTCTTTTTCTTTCACAGAAGGGAACCAATGTCGCTGGTGGCTCTGAAATTAATAAAAAAAGGGGAGAGGGGAAAATAAAATTAAAAGAAGGGTAGCTATTATAATTAATTTTTATTTAAAAAAAAGAAAGAAAAATATTATTAAAAAAAGGGGAGTAGTGACACGCGCGAATGGGGAGAAAGGAACGTGCATCCTGGCCATCTGGCACGAGTCTTTGCTTCCCCGCCCCCTAATCCAGTAGAAACACTGGAGGAATGACAGCTCAAATGTGCCGTTCACCGGCTGGAACCCGATCCTGGGTGGAGTGGCTGGTAGGGAACGGAGCGTGCTAAAAAAAAGAAAGATTTTATTTTTTTATTGTCTAACTCTTGATGCAATTTTCCACTCACCATATACGGTGACTCCTATCTTCTCATCACCAGCCCTGAAAAATAGGGAAGTCCCCCGCTTCTTCCCTTATGACTGATGG